TAGCTTTATTTGGTTTGATAAAGGCAAAGAACAGGTTTTGTTAAGAACTGTATAACTTTGTTAAGAGATGTACAACCACTAATTGAGGATGACTACCAGACTTTACCTAGAAGGCCAACAAAATTGATATAAACAGAATAGCAAAAATTAATGAAGCACCAACGGTTGGGGTGGTGTCCATTTTTAGGCTTACCATGTACACAGAACTTACTCTAGGCTCATTTGATTAGGTGCTTATAGTGAGAGACTATCTTGGCTCAAGAGCATGGCTTAGCTGATCAGTCTGATGCATTACACTTAGGAAGTCTCTAACTCTGCTACTATGCAGCTTCCTATTACCTTGTAAGCTATTACGAGATTAGCCACAAATGGCCTGGAACTCCCTATGGAGACCAGGCTGCCTTGATGTCACAGAGAACGTCTACCTCTGTCTCCCAAGTGCTGGGAGTAAAGGCATGTGCCACCACGCCTGGCTTCTTTTGAAAGTTTTGAAAATTCCAATCTTAAGAAAAATTCTAAGAATAACTGTGTACTCTAGTTTGTTATTTTGTTTGCTGAACCATAGTTACTGGTATTATTCCCACCCTCCCACCCCCCACCCTTGTAGTGCTGGAGATAACAGAGCAAGGTCTCAACCACCACTGAGCCACATAGCCAGCTCATAAAGCTTCATTTTTACCTTAGTATTTAGCATGTGTCTGTTAACAACGGCTTTCCCCTGTGTCCTAGTTTGTTCTCCATTGCTGTGACAAAACACTCTGACCAATACCAACTTGGGGAGGAAAGGGTTTATTTAGCTTACATATCCCAGGTCACAGTTCATCAGGGAGCCCAGTGTATGAACTCAGGGCAGGAACCTGGAGGCAGGAGCTGGAGCCCAGGCCATGGAGGAATGCTGCTTACTGGCTTACTCCCTTGGCCCCTGCTCAGCCTGCTTTATGCAACACAGGCCCACCTGTCCAGGGGTGGCACCACCCACAGTGGGCTGGGCCCTCCCACATCACTCATCAAGAAGATGCCCCTCAGACATGGCCACAGGCCAGTCCAGTAGAGGCAATTCACCAGTTGAGGCGCCCTCAACCCAGGTGTGTCAAGTTGACACTAAAGCTATCCAGCACACCCTATTTATCAACACTTCTCACACCAAACTGGAAGGAGTGGTTCTCCAAGAGACATTTAATTAATTTTCTAACATCAGCTAATTATCTTATAATTCTAGTCAAGTCTAACACTGTCTACCCAAAGTTTACAAGATCACACTGCTCCACTTCATATGTCAATCCTAAAATGTCCAGTACACTGGCCAACCGTGTGTGTGTGTGTGTGTGTGTGTGTGTGTGTGTGTGTGTTCACAAAACCCTTTCCTGGGGGAGAGGCATTTAATAATTTGATAAAGTGACTCAGAACTTAGAAAAATACTTTTACAAAGGATAAAAGTTAGAAACTGCCAAACAGAAGATACACATAGGGTATACATATAATAACACTCACATCTGATCTTTATCATTTTTCTTGGCACAGAGAACCCTTAGAGCCTACTCAAAGGACTAGAAGAGTGCTTTCTGTATGCTAATGACAGGACTGGGGCTAGGAACTCCTAGAGTCTCAGGACTGGGGCTGTCCTCCAGAAGGGATAAGGAATGACTAGAGTTGATTCTTCTTTCTTATCCCTGACCAGCCTCCAACCCAGATTGAATTAATCACCAATACAGTCAGTGATGCCCACACACACAATGGAGCCTCATCAAAAGAACACAAGGACATGGTTCTGTGCAGCTCATTATGTAGAGATTCCTAAGGACAGTTTTCTCAGAATGGGCATAGACACTCTGCACTCCTTCCCATGTCCCTTCTCTATGCAGCTCTCCACCTGCATCCTGTTTAATACTGTTTATAATAGGTTAATTTTAGCCAAGCATTTTCCTGAGTCCTGTGAGCTACTCTAGCAAATTTAACCAAGTCAGAAGAGGGTTTTATAAATTAAGAGGAACCTTAATTTGTATCAGGTGGTTCAGACGACCTACTATACACATGCGACTTTGAAGTTGGAGGCTGCTCTGTAGGGCTGACTCTACCTCTAGACGGGCAGTATCAAAACTGAAGTGAATTCATGAACACCACGTTGATGTCTGTGGAGAATTGCTTGGAATGTGGGAAGAAGTCCCTGTACAGCTAGCTTAAGTATCATATCCCGAGGTGGGTAAGAGGAAGGAAACGAACTAAGGGACACTCTTCTGGTATTCTGCTGTCTTCACACTCTTTGGAAAGTCTGTAAACCTCTCCATTCAGGTTTTTTTTTTTTTTAATATTCAGTTTTTTAAAATATTTTTAAATACTTTTTATTAATTCATTTTAAAGTATTTTTATGTTTTTCATTTATTTTATGTGTATGAGTGTTATGCCTATGTGTGTATAAGTGCACCCATGTCGTGCAATACTCGTGGCAGTCAGAAGAGGGCATCAGATTCCCTTGGAAGTGGAGTTACAGATGGTTGTTAGCTGCCATGTGGGTGCTGGGAATCAAACCCAGGTCCTCTGCAAGAACAGCCGGTGCTCTTAACTGCTGAGCCATCTCTCCAGCCCCCATTCAGAGTTTTTATGAAGATATCATTACACAATCATAATTGATTTAACTGATTTAAGTCATCCATCAATAACCCAATTTCAAGGACCGAAAGTTCTAACCCTTTAACCACAAGATTCCTCTGGCAACCAACCCCACTCCCAGCCCCAAACCTGACTGGAGACCCTCTAGAGAGTCAACTCATCAGAAAAAATTCAAGATATTAAGGATGGTTAGACAGTAAGATAATCAACTCACCTTATCACCCAAAGATTCCAAAGAAAAAACATCAACTAATTTACATTAGTTTGAGTCTGAACTCAAGCTCCCCCATTCAAATTTGTATTTTTTGTTTTACCTGGATATTGCAGCTTTTTCCATTATTTCTTGCTGAATGAGCCCAGATGGCTCAATGACATCTAAGATAATTATGCTCCACAACTTGTCTGATTTGGGCCTTTGTAACACAGCAGCTTCCTCCTCTACATGTCTCAGCCAAAACTCAAGTGTTTCCTTAGGAAAGTGATTGGCTTCAGATATAAGGTCCAAAGCTATACGATGCTGGTCTTTCTCCACAGAACTGAATGACTTAACCTGACCAAGTGTTCCAGCAATTATAGGCAAAATAGAGAAGCCTTCAGACACATCCAACACATAGAAAGGGTCAGGGGCACTCAGTTCAGTATTACTCTGTCCACTGCCAGAGCTCATCTCAGTGTGCTGACAGTGAGTATCCATGGCCTGACACAGCTTCTCTGGGGCCAATGAAGACAACACTTTCCTCATTGCTGTCTTAAAGCCTTCATGATATGGGATGTTATTAAGCAAAGCAATTTCTGTGGATTCTAACACACAGGTCTGCTCTACAACATCTGGTTTGCTGGTCTGAAGGTTAGCCAGAGCACTACAGAGTTCAGCCTCATTTCCTAAAGACAGAAAGTCTTTACTCTTGGTAAAATTTTTTACAACTTCCATTTCATGTTCCAAACTCAAGATATTAATACTCTGGATCCTTAGGTAACAATCTTGACAAGATGCTTCCATTGTCACATGGTCCCCAGGCTTTATCCAGTAGTCTTCATTAATAAAAGAAAAAAAATATAACTGATTAATATGGAGTACTTTAAGCCTGAGAATCACACAAACATCTCCATCTCCCATCTAATCCCCTATTCCTAAAATCACTGCAAGTTACATCTATTCATTTAATATACCAAAAAAACTAGGAAATCCCACCATTTTACTTATGGGGAAAAAAAACTAACAATTAAAAAGTCAATCAATATATAATTTAATGGAGAGACTGAAGAGTTCCAAGGATCAATGGATCTTGAAACTTTAAATACTGCTTTTTTATTGTTTGGCTAGTTTTTGAAACAAGGTTTGATAGAGCTTAGGCTATCTTTGAACTTGCATTGTAGCTGACACCAACTTTGAACTTTTGATTCTCCTCCTTCTACCCCTTAAGTGTTGGAATTAAAGACATGTGCTATCATGCCTTTTTTTAGACAGGTTCTCACTATGTAGCTCTAGTGGGTCAGGGACTGACTATGTGGACCAGGCTGACCTGGAACTCACAGAGATCCACCTGCCTCTGCCTCCCAAGTGCTGGAATTAAAAATGGGGGGGGCACCACATCCACCTTTATATTTTGGTGGTTTTATTGTTTTTACTGCAATCAACATATATGTTATCAAACTGAGGAGGTTATGGGGGATGGCAGAAGACTTTGACTATAGGCAAAGACAAATGAAATTGAGGAATCAATACCAAGTCTCGTTTTATCTTAAACAGACAGCTTTTTAATCTCTAAAAGTAATTTCCAAAAGTATGAGACAGCATTCACCAGAATCATATTTGTAATATTTCTTAGGTATTGGTATTTGGGTATGTTAATTGCTTAGGAATTTCACAGTGTATATGAAGATTAAGTCCTGCAATCAGGACTATATCATACTCCTTTCCGTTGGTTCTCACATGTGGTCAAGATTTAAAATGCCAATACAACTATCATTCCTTCCCATTAGCTCTAGAGCCAGTTTGTAACAAAATGTATGCCCAGGTATTATAATGCATGCCTGTAGTACTAGCTGGCTGGGAGGCTGAGACAGAAAGTCACTTGAGCCTATGAATTCAAGACCGGCCTGGAATGCAGAAAAATCCCATCTTAAACCCAGGTTGTGGCCCTGGTAAGATGGCTCAGCAGGTACAGGCCTTTACCTGTTCTACCTGACAATCTGAATTCAATCCCTGGAACCAATGTAAAGGTGTAAGGAGAGAACCAGCTCCAGAAAGCTGACACATGTATGTCATGGCATGTTCATTCCCCTCAACCCCCAACATCGCATAGCACACACACACACACACACACACACACACACACACACACATACACACACATACACACAAATATGAATAAATAAAAATTTAAAATAAAAAAAGCAAAACAAAAACAAGTTGGGGCTGGAAAGATGGCACAGTGGTTAAGAGCACTGACTGTTATTGCAGAGGACGTAGGGTACCTAGGACCCACATGGCGGCTAACAACCATCCACAATGCCAGTTCCAGGGACTCTGACATCCACATCTGGCCTCCTCAGGTTTCCATGCACGTGGCATACTTACATACATGCAGGCAAAATACACATTAGAAAAAAAAAAAATCCAAAGAATTTTTTTTTTAAAGTTATGTTTATGTTTAAGCATTTAAAATGGCTTTTCCCTAAGGATCTTTTTTTATTTTTATTTATTTATTTATTTACTTGGAGGGTGTCTTTTTGAGACAGGGTCTCCCTGTAGCCCCAGCTGACCTAGAGCTCACTATGTAGAGTAGGCTGGCCTTGAACTCAAAGAGATTCCCCTGCCTCTGCCTCTGAAGTGCTGGAATTAATGCCTGGTTCTAATCTCTTCTTAACTCTATGTCTTAGCTACTTAAATTACTTTTGAAGAAAGAAAATTAAAATTGTGAAATACTTAAGTAACCTCTTTTGCTGAAAACTTCATATCCAAAGTAATTCTTTTTTCTCTTTTTGGCCACTGACTCAATTACTTAGATTAAAGCAACAAGTTTCAGTTTTTGGTTGGTTGGCTGCGGGGAGGAGAGGCTGGTTTGAGTTTAAAACTAAAACAAGACCAGACTTACCTGTCAGGGCCTGTGCTGGATACACAGCCTGTTCCCAACAGGTTTCCTCACTGGGACTTGTGGATAAACTGTGTTCATCATCAAGCTGGAGAACAAACCAAACCACAACAGCATCCAGCATGCCCTCTTTAACGGCAGGAACACGAATAGGATGAGGTTTTTCAGTTGCAATATTTTTTAATTCCTGAAAAAAAATTATAAAAAGAATGAGAGGATTTTATAAATTGTATACTTATTTAGTATCCTACCCACTACCATCTTTAAAATTCAGTCCTACCCAGGACCCTTAGGGAATCATAGAATACCATGCAACTTTTAGAAATAAGGCTACTACTGATAAAGAAAAAAATGTCAATGGAATATGTGAGATGCCAAAGGCACATGGCAAAATAATCAGGATTATTGTTTTTTAAAAAGTATGTGTGTCTGTACATGCAAGCCTGGAATGATGCACTTGAAACAAGTGACGTGGGGAAAGAAGGACAAAATTTTAAAAGGGAAGAAAAATAATACTTGAGCTTTTTTATTTCTGTTCTTCTGTATTGCCTGAAAGTACTGAGCAGGCAGACATTACTTTCAAAACTAAAATTTTTACAGGTATTGTGTCTGTGTGTATAAAAGTAAAATTCAAATAAAAATGATTAAAATAATAAAAAAACAGTTCTAGGGTACTTAACAGCTATAATTCTGCTATTCCCTACCAGAACATTGTATCAGATAAGGAATGACCTTAAAGCTCAGAAAGACTGCTCAGCCTCAGTAAGAAATGTCAAATTGTTAAATTAGCTGCAAACCACTTCCAAAAAAAAGTTAGTTACCAAAAAAAAAGGGGGGGGGGAGAGTATCAAATGTTGATAATTCCAGGTTAAAATGCACTTCACAGTCTACTGCCACGCCAACAGGTTCATCTGAAACATGTATACCTGGGCATTCTTTCAGAAAAGGATTCTATGTAATGGCTCTCGGGTCCTTTGAGCATTCTATACATACATTTTCTGATCACCCTGATATACACATACACAAACAGGGTGACCACCCACTGATATACACAAACAGGGTGACCATCCACTGATAGACACATATACAAACAGGGTGACCACCCACTGATATACACATATACGAACAGAGTGACCACCCTGTCACCCTTACTAGGCCCTGGCTTTAATGATGAAAGTAAAGGACTGGAAGTAGAGCTGAGTGGTACAGATGCTTGCTAATATGTACAATGCTCTGGATTCAATCCCCAGCAAGATAAAACTCAAAAAATCCAAAAGTTCTCTGTCTCAGGACTCTTAGTCTTTGGTGAACTGAGATGTTGACCTAACAACTTTGAGATTTAAGTTATTGCTCATTTCAAGGAAAACCATTAATTAGAAAAGAAAGCAGAAAAAACAGAAAAAAGCAGAAAAGTAGGAAAAGATTTAGACTGGAACATTGGCCCCTGCATTCACATATATAATGATTTGGCAGAAATTATTTAATGTAAGCAACATGTAAGACCCTAAGACCCATGTAAAGCTCCTGGCACATCATACTTTCCCAACAAATCCCAGGGAGCTTTTTCCTTGGTAGTTAACGAGAATAATTTCAAAATGGAATTTTAATTAACTGTCAATCATTTTCTTCATAAATAGAACTTCATGCAACTTCGTAGACTATTTTACTTTAAATAATTCATGAATTACTTGAAATAATTCATTATTAATTTTAATAACTGAAAGTAGTAATTAGCAGGGTGTGGTGACACACACCTCCCAGCACTCAGGAGGCAGAAGCAGGCAGATCTCTGTGAGTTCAAGGCCAGCCTGGTCTACATTGTGAGTTCCTGGCCAGCTGGGGCTATAAGGGATACCCTGTTTCAAAAAGACCAAAACAAAACAAACAAATAAAAGTAGTAATTAACTTTTTGTTCTTACCTGAAGATTGCTGAAATCTACTTTCATAATTTCAAAGCATTCTGTCAAAGGCAAATATCCTCCAGGAATTCGGCTAATCTTTTCAGTTGTATATGGTTCAATTGCTTCTTCAGTATCTATAGAAGTGTAAGCTGGACTTTGAAATTTCACAGTTGTTGGCAAATGGATACCAGCAATATCTTTAATAGCCACTCTAGTGAGAGATGAAATAAAAGAGAGAAAGGTGAGTTTTTAAATTACCAAATAATACCATCTAAAAGTAAGTTGAGAATAATACAAAAGTGAGTCAGACATGCTGCTGCAGGCCTTTAATCCCAGCACTCAGGAGGCAGAGGCATTGAAGATCTCTTTGAGAACAAAGCCAGCCTGGTCTATATAGTAAGATCCAGGTCAGCTGGGGATATAGAGAGACCCTGTCTCAAAAAGACCAAAACAAACACACACACACACACACACACACACACAATCACAAAATCACAAAATCACAAAAGTGAAGTAAGATCTTATGACTACAAATTTCTTTCCTTTTTTTTTTTGAAAATGTGCTGAGAGCCATGTGTTTGGAGAATATGTGAAATAATATTATTACATGTTTAATATGAAAATGCTGAAACTTAAAATGCCATATGAACCCAATCTCAGAAGGACCTCTTTGTGTTCTATACCACAACATTCTAGATTTGAGAATTAATTAATAACATTTTACACAGATATTAAAGAAATGCTTTTAACTTACAAGTATGATACAGTATCATTCTACTTACACTCATCACCAACAATCAAACAGAATTCATGAAAATTGCTATGCCATTTTTTTGCTAGGTTCTAAAAATGTCTTACAGGGAAAACAAGGTTTTAAAAAAACTATTCACTTTTTTAAATGAGCTATCTACAGTTACTTTGAACTTTGTTTTTCTAAAGCTGGGTTTTATTAAAGGATTTTTATTCTTCAAAATAAACATAGTAACTAAAATAATTTTCCTTCTAAAAACAATGTTTTAAATTTTCTCTTGGTATTTAAAGTCATAAACATGTATAACTTTGTTAAGAGATGTACAACCACTAATTGAGGATGACTACCAGACTTTACCTAGAAGGCCAACAAAATTGATATAAACAGAATAGCAAAAATTAATGAAGCACCAACGGTTGGGGTGGTGTCCATTTTTAGGCTTACCATGTACACAGAACTTACTCTAGGCTCATTTGATTAGGTGCTTATAGTGAGAGACTATCTTGGCTCAAGAGCATGGCTTAGCTGATCAGTCTGATGCATTACACTTAGGAAGTCTCTAACTCTGCTACTATGCAGCTTCCTATTACCTTGTAAGCTATTACGAGATTAGCCACAAATGGCCTGGAACTCCCTATGGAGACCAGGCTGCCTTGATGTCACAGAGAACGTCTACCTCTGTCTCCCAAGTGCTGGGAGTAAAGGCATGTGCCACCACGCCTGGCTTCTTTTGAAAGTTTTGAAAATTCCAATCTTAAGAAAAATTCTAAGAATAACTGTGTACTCTAGTTTGTTATTTTGTTTGCTGAACCATAGTTACTGGTATTATTCCCACCCTCCCATACCTATATGTCTGATTTTTAGGTTTTGGTACTGATTAACATGGGCAGTCTTTCAGAACCTATTTCCAACTGGTACCTTAGACCATTTTTTAATTTTCAAGTACTGTAAGCTAATATGAGTTAATTATTAATTTGATGTTCACTTCTCAAATATTTGTTGTATATTATAGTGGACGTTCTTAAATTTCCCTCACAGATAGAGCAGATTTACCAGTTTTGTTTACCATTCTCATCGCTAGAGTTCATCAGCCATGAACAGTCAAGAGCTTCTCACTGGCAGCCTTTGTTTCTGCAATGACCTTAAATGGTCAACTACATCTGTGCACCACTTGCTGGATCCTATGTTTCCTAGAGCCCTGCCCATTTGAGGCAGCACTTCCTGGTCTTTGCTATTTAACAGCCACAGCAGTGGTGAAATCAATCTGGCGTCTACACACGGAATTCACATATATTAGGTTTTGGCTTTTGCTATGATGTGAGCTATTCTGCTATGCAGGAAGATTGTGGAGTTGCAGACTTGCAAACAACTGAAGTATTCCCCTTGTATTTATTTATTCGTTTCTGTGTTACTTTGAGCCATGGCCTAAAGCAGACAATCAAAACATCTTTTTATCCTCCATCCTGTCAACAGTTCTTTTCAGTTTCTTTAAGTTATCATGGAGATTATCCATGTTCCTCTCACAGGGTGAGGACTGGCAGGGTGAAGGGTTCAGGTGCGGAGGCTCTTAAATGATATACACACATAAAATATACAATCACACTATGAGTAGGGACATAAAATTGGTAACTTAGACCAGAAGTGGTGGTGCACACCTTTAATTCAGCACTCAGGAGGCAGAAGGATCTCTCTGAGATTTAGAGTCTGGTCTACATAGTAAGTTACAGGTCAGCCAGGGCTACAGGGAGACCCCGTCAAGTCTGTGTTGGGCCTGTGAGATAGCTTAGCCAGTAAAGGCACTTGCTGCCAAGTCTGACAACTTTAGTCTGATCTCCAGTATTCACATGGTGGAAGGAAAACCAATGCCTTCAAGTTGACCTCTGACCTCCACATGTGTACCATGGCACATATACACATGCACACACACATACACAAATGAATAAATGCATAAAAAATTTTTTAATGTTTGTGTCAATCAAATTTACACTGGAAAAAAAATAACTTCAGGACAAATTTTAGCTATTTTCTAAAAGAAAATATTACAACCTCATCTCCTCTCACTTGATCCCTGAATCTTTTTTTTTTTTTTTCTGTCTATATGCATTCATAAGACTTCAGTTCAAGAGCTAGAGAAATGGCTCAGAGGTTAAGAGCACTGCCCACTCTTCCAGAGGTTTGGTTCCCAGTACCCACATGGCAGCTAACCACTGTCCAAAACTCTAGTTTGAGGGGATCTGACACCCTCTTCTGGCCTCTGCAGACATTGCATGACATGGGTGTACATGCAGACAAAACAATCATACACATACAATAAAAACAAATAAAAAGGGCCCAAGACTTCAAGTAAAACTACCTCTAGAAATTATTTTATCATATTCTTTAAAAATAAAACATCAAATGGAACTGATTATTTTAATAACTAAAAGTCACAAGTTTTGAGTGACAATGTCTCAGAAAAACAAAAAATATGAAATGCCCTGGGATTTTTTTTAAAAACACTTCCTTACTTTCTGATATATAGTATTCCAGAATCACCTTGACTCTACCCTGTCCCAGTCCTAGAATTAGCCATTTCTCCAAGAAACTATAGTTCTTTTTAGTGAGAAATGGTATTTTGAAGCCAAGACCTGGGTGGTAGTTATGCTCATTGCTCCTAAGTTACAACTTGTCTCTTTCATACAATAGTATACCATGACCTCTTTTATTTTGTATGTGTATGTAAGTGTGTGTGCATGTGTGTGCACATGCACAAGTGTGCACATGCATGCATGTGGAGGCCAGAGGTTAATGTAGAATGTCTCCCCATCTTTCCAAACCTTTGTTTGTTTGTTTATTTAGGTCTTTTTGAGACGAGGTCTCCCGATGTAGCCCCACTTGGCCTGGAACTTACTATGCAAACCAGGCTGGCCTTGAACTCACAGAAATCCACCTGCCTCTGCCTCCCAAGTGCTGAGATTAAAGATGTACACCACCATGCCCACCCCAAAATCTTAATTTTTGAGAAAAGGTCTCTCATTGAATTTGGAGCTCATCCATTCAGCTATAATGGATGGCCAGTGAGCCCCAGGGATCATCCTATCTCAGCCTCTCCTGTGGTAGGATTACAGGCATGCACTGCCTTGTCAGACTTTTCATGTAGGTTCTGAGGGATCTAAGCAGGTCCCCATACTTGCATAGCAAGGACTGTACTAACTGAACCATCTTCCCAGCCCCTATACATGTAACTAATTCTCTGGGACACTTATAACAAGACTGCATTGGGTGAATGCCATATTATAATTTATTCAAGTATTTTCTTCTTACTAAAAAATATTTTCTTGTTTTGGTTTTTCCAAAATAACAGTATTACAATGAATACCTTGCACATGTATTATCATACATGTCAGGGTAAGTTCTCAAACATGCAAATGCTACTTAATGAGAGGTTTTATTGAATGACTTAAACATTGTACCAACAATGTGTACATTTTCCTACATGTATAAGAAAACATGTCAACCATGTTTAATGCCTAATGTAAGGAGCTGAAAATATTGTCTCAATGCTCTAATTGCCTTTTTTCTGGCTAATATACAATAACACATTCATACTGTATTATAAAAACTCAAGATTTTATCAGTCCATTGTTTGTCTTTAAATATATAGCACTAGATCTCTTACTACACTGATTTTTTTTAACTGTAATTTTACTTTTAAGATTTATTGTTTTCAATTTATATATGTGCTTCTGTCTGTGTGGGTGCAGAAAAAGGCCAGGAAAGGACATCATACTCCTTGAAGCTGGAGTTAAGAGATCTGTCTGACATGGGTACTAAATTCCAGTCCTCATGATTAAGCAGCAATCATGAGGGTGATTTTTAATTTGCCTGTGTGTGTGTGTGTGTGTGTGTGTGTGTGTGTGTGTGTGTGTGTGTGTGTTTGTGAGACAGCATCTCCCTATAGCCCCAGATGGCCTGGAACTCTCTATGTAAACCAGGCTGGCCCCAATCTCGGAGAGATCTACCTGCCTCTGCCTTCTGAGTACTGCGATTAAAAGTGTGTCCCACCAGGGCTGGAAAGATGGCTCAGCAGTTAAAAACACTGGTTGTTCTTGCAGAAGACCTGGGTTTGAATCCCAGCACCCACAACTAACAACTGTCTGTAACTCCAGTCCCAGGGGATCTGACAGCCTCTTCTGTCCTCTGTGGGCATTGCATGACACAGGTGCACTTACCTACATGCAGGAAATATACTCACAAAATAAAAATAATAAAATATTTTTAAAAAATGTGTCCCATCATGCCTAGCTTTTTAACTGCTTCTTTTATTTATCAGTATTTCCTAAAATACTTTTGTTACCTTTACTATTAATAAATTACTCAGGAAGGGGACTTCTTTGAATCGTCTAAAATTGTTTTTGGCCCAATCATTACATTAATGAAGTTTCAAAAAAAAAAAATTAAGCTAAAATTTATCTTTACAGTGGAAAGTATTTGAACTTCAACTAAAATCAATCTGAACTTATTTTTCTACACGAGCCTCTCATACAACAAAAAGATACTAAGTTGACTGAAAATTTTCCATTTAGAAAAAGCTGCCTTTAATCCTGGCATTCTATTTAAAATAAATAAAACTAAACATAAATTTGAAGATTAGAAAACTGTAAAGTCTTACCCAAATAAGTATGCACTAAATGTGTGAAGTAGCAGTCGCTGTAAAATTACTTTAATATTTTGCTGTTGGGTGTGGTGGCACACACCTTTAATCTTAGCACTTGGGAGACAGAGGTAGGTGGATCTCTGTGAGTTTGATCTCCATAGCAAATCCAGGCCAGCTGGGGCTTCAGGGAGACCCTGTCTCAAAAAGACCAAAAAAACAGATTACTATTCCCTAGTCGCTTACCTATGATGCCTTCTTATCTCTGCACATTCCACTGCCATCCCAAATATAACAGCACTTGCTGGTATAACTTTCCCATATTTTCCACAATTACCACCTTCACCTTTGGTCTGAAAGTACAGTAAAAATTGTATTATTATAGGTACAAAAAAGTGTGTATGTAATGAGACAATATGAAAATCACTGGAAAAAAAAACTTAATAAGCAGGTTAAAGAATTTTCATACACACACACATACACACACATTTATGTATAATACAATTACAAAGGTGGATGGGAGAGAAGGAGAGATAGATGTAAGCCTATGCAACAAAACATTTTGGGGTATGATTTAATTAAGAAACCAGGGCCGGGCACATGCCTTTAATCCCAGCACTTTAGGCAGAAGCAGGTGGATCTCTGTGGGTTCGAGACCAGCCTGGTCTACATAGCTAGTTCCAGACCAGCTGGGACTACAGGGAGACCGTCTCAAAGAGACCAGAAAAAAAAAAAAAAAAAAATCTGGACTTGGAATATAGCTCAGCAGTAGAGCACTAGCTATATGTGAGGCACTAAGTTCAGTACCCAGCACCAAAAAACAACAAAAAAACAAGAAATCAAATCATTATTTACTTGAAAAATAAACTATATTTCTAACCATGTTCAATATGTATCATTTTCTATAAACAGTGAAATTTTATTACCGGTTAAAATCCTCATAGTGAATTAATTTTAATATACACATGATTTGTGGGCTATAGTAGAGTATTGCAGTGTTTAAGATAAAAGTTCTGTCCACTTAGTGGCCTGAGTTCAATGAGCACCTGAAAATTGTACTGAGCTAGTATTACATACTCACTGACCACTGTGGGACTTAAAGTGCCTCTTTTTCTACAGCTACACTAAAGAATTTCAGTCAGTCCCTCCACAGTAATTTCAATTTCTGCGACTTCCTTCCTACAGTACGTTTTTATGAAACTCACTGGTACATAAAGTATTCATGGATTACTTTTCATGGATTACTTTCCAATTATACAATATACACGTAGAGAGTAGGGGAAAATATCTCATAGCTTTGCAAATACTCTAGTACTCTAGAGGTTCAATGAACCTCCGTTAAAATCATTCTATTGCGGCTGGGTATGGTGGCCCATGCCTTTGATCCCATCAGAGGCAGGTGGATTTCTGTGAGTTCAAGGCCAGGCTGGTCTACATAGTGAGTTCCAGGTCAGCTGGAGCTGCAGGGAGACCCTGTCTCAAAAAGATCAAAAAAAAAAAAAAATCATTCCTTTGCACAACATGGGTGCACTTACATACATGCAGGCAATATACTCATACACATAAAATAAATAAAAATGATAAATATTAAAATCTTTCTTAGCCAATTTTAAGTGTTTTCATGCTGCTTACCTTTGGTTGCAAAAGTAAATGTTCCCATGCGTGAATTAAACTCTCCACAATTCCTTCTCCAAATAAACCTGCATCGACAGTTTCTGTTACAACTAGGGACACTCTATAGAATGATTTTTTAAAGATATATGTAAGTAAAATGTCACACTATTTATATAAAGATGTCAAAGCTGAGAGGAGAAAAATGAAAATGTTATAGAAAGTCTACACATAAACTTTTCTCATATATTGCATGTTTACATCTATCCCTCAAATCTTGAAGACTGACGGTAATGTTCCTTGGGCTCCTCTCTTCTTCACTGGCTTTTCTTTGCTTTGGAGGTAGAAGGGTTGCCTCCTCAGATTCTTCTTCCATTGCCAAAGTCCTTAGAGTACTTGATGCCCATTATCTTTCCTTAATATCATGCATCTGGCTTCTAATTCTAACACTCTAGAAAAATATTTTCACCTGGCCAGGAGTGGTGGTTCATGCCTATAATCCCAGCACTTGGGAGGTGGAGGCAAGAGAATCAGGAGTTCAAAGTCAACCTCCCTCGCTACCTTGTGAATTTGAGGCCAGCCTGGGTTGCAGGGAAATCACTCTTAAGAAGGGGAAAAAAAAGTCAGGGAGGGAGAGGGAGTATATATAAATTTTCTACCATCAATGACTCCCTCTCTCAAAATGAATTGTCTTTCTCGGTTGTCATTTTGTTTTTACATTTATTTATTCTGTGCATGAGTATGTGCGTGTATGTAAGCATACACATACCATAGCACACATGCGGAAGTCAGAGAGCTATTGGGAGCTATTATGGGCACAGCTTGACTTTAGAATTGGAATGCTTCCACCCTGGGACTTTCCCTGATCTCTGTTTCTGTGGTCCGAGTTGACAGGCTATGCTTCCCTGATTAATTAGCAGTCTTGGAAACATAACTTAAGAGTTCTGTTTCAGTTTATGGGCACCGGAGTTTCTCAGCACTGTAAGCTTGGTTTCTTTATAGAAATAATAGATTTTAGTAGTTGCTAAGAGTAATCAAAAACTACACTTTATATCTAAGATATTACACATATTATGTAGCGGAATCTTGTATACTGTAAACGTTGTGTGAGTTTCGGTTGGTGAAGTAATGTATTCTTGGTGGTAACATAATGTATCCTTGTTTATTTCTTGGTTACTTTCTGTTTAATGATGTATCCTTGGTTATTCCTTGGTTACTCCAGATCTGCTTTCTATATAAGCTTGCTCAAGTTCACAATAAGCATGCAGTGGTACACAAGCCTCTCTATCCCCTATGTTGTATCCTTGATTATTCCTTGGTCACCCCAGATCTGCTTTCTATATAAGCTTGCTTTAGTTCACAATAAACACGCACTGGTACACAAGCCTCTGCATCCCCTGCGTTCTGATTTCTATCCGTCGGGGTCCCCAAGCCTTTCAGCTTGGACTGTGGTCACTGCACCATGACAGCTGGCACCCAAACAGGAACCCCCAACATTGCACCCTGAGGAGGTATTTAGGACAGAGTTGCAATTTAAGTAAGTATACTGGGACAGGGTAAGTCTACTCCTTTTGTTTCTTTAATTCATATTCTTTGTAGTAAGGGAGCACAAGTGTGCAAATAGTTGTAGAGTTAAATTCATGGTCTCCTGATATAGGAACTTTAGATTTAGACGTCTGGGATAGAGTTAGAACTAATGGGTAGGAGAAACAATACCGCTTGATTTTTGGTTTGTGTGGGCACTCATCTGAACAGCTATTAATCAAGCTCCAAATAGCATGTTACCACCTCAGGTCTTTCGTACTTCTAATGAAGCAGTTAATCTTTCCTGAGCAGTTAAAAAATAAAGTTGCTGAGGAGATTCAAAAGGTTATTTACTCGAAGCCTTTTCTAGATATTTTTACAAAGAAGGAGCCTTTAGTTCCTCCTTGTTCAGCTCCAAGTTCTCAGAGTTCAGCAAAATTACTGGCACAAACTTCTGACTCTGAATCTGATTCTGAGATTACTACGTCAAAAGCTGCATTTCTAGTTATTCGACATCCTCCTGTCAATGGAATTGCAGTTTCTATAAATCCTCAAATGGAAACAGTGAAATCAAAACTACCAGACAAATGTCCCCGCTGTCATCGTGGTGTGCACTGGGCTCGAGATTGTAGATTTAAAAAAGATATTGATGGAAATTTCTTAAGAAAAAAGCCTATTTCAATGTCTCGACCACCATATTCGGGACAAGAGCCGGAGCCTTCCTCAAGGCCCCCTATAAATGATCAGGGGCAATTAACCATCTTTTCCCTTGACCCTTGTAGTGCAGCCAAGGACCTTTCCTCAGCCATAACTGTAACATTGGTACTCTCTAATGTTCTCTTATAGAGTGTCTATACTACAGTGTCATGGATAGATTAAAAGTAGAGTATTATGATGTTGTCTCTTCGCATTTTCTTTTTGGTACTATTGTTTTCTGTGTTTCTTATTTCTCTGATGAGACAGAGTATATATCCACAATTGGCACAAATTTGATTAGAACAAATTTAAGAACGTTAAATGACTTTCAGAAGCTTTTAGGGGATATTAATTGGCTTTGCCCTGTGCTTTGTATTCCTACTTGTAAGTTACATAATTTATTTCAAATCCTCCAGGGTGATCCTGCTCTTAATAGTCCTACAGTATTAGCAAAACAAGAGTTTGATTATGTACAAATAGCTATAAAAATAAATTCTTGGAACGGGTAGACATTGATAAGCTTATTGATTTTATTATTTTGTCTACTCTTAATTATCCAACTGCAGTGCTGGCTCAACAAGAGAATCCTTTAGAATGAATACCAAACATACATTTTCAAAAACTTTCAGTAAATATGAAGAACTGCTTGCTGCATTAGTTATGCAAGATCATAACAGAAGCTTTATGATAAGTGGAATGGATATCCACACTATTATATTTCTTTACCCCAAGATCATTTTAAGTTCTTGCTTGCACAAACTGATGCATTACAAATAGCCTTGGCAGGATTTCTAGGACAAATACACTATAATAAACCTGCTTGAGTCCAGGAGTAACTGATGCAGAGTTTGAAGGTGAAATTCAAACTTTAACTACTACTAATAGCTCATATCCTATTATTATAGGTGATAAAATTGCTCAGTTGATTCTTCTTTCTTTTATACCTATTGGATCATCTTCCAGAAAAAGAATTGGAGGATTTGGAAGTATTAATCCTATTTCTGTTAATTGGGCT